GGAAAAAAGACAAAAGACAAAAGACAAAAAAAAAAAGATACCTAAATTCTCTCTTCAGGTATCTTCACAAGAACCAAGTTGTGGTCAATCTGCCATGTGCAGTCAATACCCAGGATAAATGGTTGTCTCAGAATAAGTGAACACCTCCAAGGAAAAGGAATGCATTACCTTCCACGGAACCCATTCTATTCTATTTTTAACAGCATTGAAAAGGAGTTTCTTATGCTGAACTAAAGCTAGTCTTTTTCACTTATACCACAGACCTCAATTTTGTAGTTCCAAGAAGATATAAATAAGCCCCAGTGCCTTGTCTTTTTTTTATTTTATTTTTTTATCAAGTTTATTTATTAATATTACTATTTTTTCTATATTCTACGATGTTGTTGTGGAGCAGTTGGCGGGGAGGAGGAGAGAGGAAGGAAGAAAATAGGGTGGGAGAAGGAGGAAGGGGGAGGGGTGGGGTCGAGGCCCGTGGCACCCCCTCATTCCTCCATGGGAGACCAGGGGCTTGCAGCGGGGCCAATGCCTTGTCTGTACAACAGCACCTCACAACCCTGTGGCCAGCGTGAGTCTTCCCTTTCCATTCCTCACAGTCTAATCCTTACCCCCCTATGTTCTGCAGTGGTGTGTTTCCTTTGTCTTCCCTGTCCCACCTATTCACCTCTAGAAGTGGGTTAGTTTGACAATGACTTCATTCTCTGCAATTTTTCAAATGTAAAATAGACAGCTGGCCTACATTGGAGGTATCAAGCAAAAATGCCATCAGAAGCCAGGAAGGAACCCAACTACGTAAAGCATCTTCAGGTAAGGCCACAAGGGGTGGTGACAACTGTGGTGACTTGGAAAATGAGTTACCAGCCTGAGTATTCAAATTTACATATTTTAAACACTATACACACACACACACACACACACACACACAAATAACTTGGACGGCAGTAGTAATCCTTAGCCTACACTGCTCTAAAAACAAAGCATAGGGTTTAATTAATAGGGTACATCTGAACATTAGAGAACTTGAAGAACCATTCCCTGAGTAGGCTGGGGACAGAGAAGAGCACTTATCTATGGCATTAGGCAACTCTGGTACTTATGATGGGAATTTGACAATCACCTTTCTCTCAACTGTACAGTGACAAAATACAAACCAAACTCATCATTCTCTCACTGCTCAGTATCTTATGTCAGGTAAGTTTGTGTCACACCAGAATGAATAAAGTAGTGACAATCAGAAAAGACAAATCATGATTGAATAGTAACAAAAAGAAGTCCTGAATAAAAGATAAGGATCAATTTTTACAGAGTATTAAAAAACTCACATTATTAATTTCTGCACATCGTTAAGTTTCCTTTGTTAAGATTTAAAATATCTTTTAAAAGCATAACCTGTGCTCTCTTTCACATTTAAAGGTTATAGTGCTACCCTCCAAAGCACATGAAATTGTCTGTCTTCCTGTTAACCACATTCCCACATCCACGGGCCTACTGACCAGAAACCAGACATTGTCTGTGGGTATGGCCCGGGGAAGGTGGCTGCTTTAAGTTCATTTGGAACCACGGAGGTGATGTTATGAATACCAGACTACAAAACCCTGCTTCAACCACCACAAGCTCCATAACATGGGACGTGGGACCAAAGCAAGGTGCAAGCTTTTTCTCAGATTGGTGGGAAAGTATCATTAGTTTATAACCACATGTCTCATAGTCCTAAAGCATTTGGTTGGTGTAACTTCTAGCAGGTAATTAGTGGCCTGGTAGCTGGAGTTGTCCACATGCAAACTCCCCTGCAAAAACAGCTCCTGGGCTTAGACCCACCTGACTGCCTAATTACTGAATCACCATTCATGATTAAACATTCCTGTCACAAAAATTAACATTAGAGTTCCAAACACGCGTGCAAATAGTCATTCTCTAAAAAAGAGTAAATAATTTTTGGTTTACCTTTGTCCATAATCTTTGATGCAGTAGGCTTATCTGGGACAGTAAGATGGTCTTGGTTGCTACTCAATGAAGAAGTGTCATCACTAGATAAAGAGTTCAAAAATCCACTTTCTGATGTAACAAAGCTGTATTCCAGAGCCTTGTGACTGTTCCCCTCTGAGGGCACAGGTGAAAGAACCTGCACAGTACATGTTATGGAGTGAGCCACGTCTTCAGCGGCAGATGAACTGCTCACTGTGTCAAGCCAGGACTGTCTTTCTTTAGATGCAGAGGAAGAAAAACTGCTGGATGTCTTTGTTGTATTTTCCAGAGAAGAGAAAGAACATGATGTTTTACTCAGTTTGGGTGAGGACGAAGATGCCTGCTGTGCAGCCTATTTTTCACAAATAAAACCAAAAAAGAATAAAAGAAATCATGATTAAACCACCATTCTCTATTTTTCACTTTCAATAAAGGTACCCTGGTGTTGCTTCAAAAAGTGACCAGTAATAAAAGACTCAAAAGACAAATGTTGGTATTTATTTTTGTACGACAGCCACTCAGGTGCCGTTCTCCAAAATCAACTTGTAGAACTTTGAATTCACTGTTTGAGGTTCTGAAAAACCTCCATATCATGTTTTACCTTGTTTTTCCAATGTTCTCCAGAAACATAAAAGGCCTCTCTGGGAAATTTTTTAGAGTATTAAAGTAAAAAATAATTTGCACTTTATCATGGAATTTGCACTGATGGGGCAAAACTCTTGATAAATGAGCCAGACAGGAAGCAAAATAATGTTAATTGAGCGGAGGTCAGTGATGTGGACAGAGAACACACATTTCATACTTATATGATTGAATATTGTTCACATGTTCCTTAGCACATGACCAATATCAGTTCATCTCTACACAAGTTAGATGAAATAATGTTAATTCATATTCACTCTTCAATAACATAAAAACCTTAATAAAATTTCACCAAAGAAAAGAATACATTTGCAGAATCTGAATTGACTAAACAGAAGACAAAAGCTGTGCCACAGATGATAAGAGGGTCGATTACGGAGGATCTTCTGACAGCGGTTCCTAACACACACTCCAAGGATGAATGACAGTCCTTGGCAACATTTCCACCAGTCCACAGAGAAAACGTCAACGCAACATCACCCACAAAGACACTCTCTTGAGAAAAACTTCATTTATTCTGAGGTTTTTATCCTTGTTACATTTCGATGTTAAAATATATGCCTTTTTTAAAAAGGGTAATCATATATATAAGCTTTTGTCTTTTTGGAGTTTCCTTTTTTTAATGACCTGTGTTGCCAACTCTCTGTTGTTTCTCTATTTTTAATTGTACTGGTCAATAAAGCCCTAAAATCTAGACTCCAGTGCTCTGTGGATCACCCTATATCTCCAATGGCAGATAAGATAGAGAAGGCATTTTGTGGTTCAGTTTCATTACATCATCCTATCAGATATTTCCTGTCAGTTTCGAGCATTCAAAAATCCAAGGAAGTGGAAGAAAGGAGATTGTCAGAGAGAGGAAGCCAAAGACCAAACTAAGATCCTCTCTAAAAACCTTAGTCATTGCAACTAACTTAGAATGATTGACTTTGTTCCAGTGTTTCAGTTTCTAAGATCTGAGTTTTGATGGGAAAAGCCAGTATCTTACCCAATGTATTCCCAACTGGCTTCATACTAGACATGGATTGTCAAATCATCAATAAATCCACTTTTAAATAGCATGACACTAAAATATCTAACTGATCATATGCATCTTCTCTATAATAATATATTGGTACAGACATGAAAATTCAGGAATGTGTCAAGTAGCTTGGGAACTGATTACCTAAATCACTCAGACCATTTAACTTAAGAGATCAAAGATCTGTAATTGACTAAATAAAACCCTAGTTATCTGGAGGAGGGAATGCAAAACACCCAAACTGTCCAAATAAATGCCAGGAATAGTTTACTCATTAGCAGGATCTACAAAATAAATATTAACAAAAATATCCATTCTGACCCAGTCCTGACACGTTCCCCTATTGTGAGCTATTTTAGTAAAACTCAGCTTCCATGTGATCTGCTTCCCTTTTTGAAATGAGACCACATGTGAGCTTTTCCTGTTGTTCCTGCTGATATTACTTTAATTTGATTATAGCAAAATAGTCTATTTGAGCAAAAGACTATGTACATAGTCTCTGAGGCACTTTCTGCAAGGCTTTTTGAACATCAAAACTCTGCTTAAAGAATAAGCAAAGACCTATTAAATGAGCATCAAAAATATCTGCAAAGTATGTTCCTGTTTGTGGTGCTATTCAAACACAGTACAAATGCTTTCAATTCATTTTCTCTAGGCACCATGTAACATTTATAAATTTGATTTTAAAATGGAAAAGAGCGAACAAAAAAAGAAAGAAGGAATGAGAAGAACTGGAGAGGACAGAAAATGAAAAATAATACATGTATTAGATCAAAGAAAATTTTCCTTGGAAGACAGACTGACAAAATACAAATCAAAGAGAACCTGGGGTTCCATTCCAGAAGATTCAATTTGGGAGCATGCTTTATAGAAAGTACACTGCTAAAGCATGGTTCGTTATTTCTAACATTCTGTAGCTACCAATAGCCAAGGTCAAGCATAGAACTCTGAGCCCCCAGTGCCATCTGTGAACCACTTGGACAATATATTCATAAAACTCCCCAATGCAAACCAAATGAAGGTAAAAAAGGAGTGACAGTCTCTCCTTTCCACCAACCTCTGCTGGTCTAATACAAGTTCATCCTTCATGTGTCAGTTCCAATGCCAGCTCCTCCAAGAAGCCTTCTCTGATTGCCTCAGAGCCTGGTAGGTACCTTTGCCTGATGCTCCCAGGCTTACTTATATCGTAGCAGGTGGAATATCATTTTATTTGTCAACTTATGTTGAAATTACCTATGAACTGTTAATCTTTTTTGGCGAGCTACTTGAGAACAGGCTGTTTTGAATCATTTTTGCATCTCTATTTTCTGTATCTGTGCCTGACGCTTAGTTAGTAACAAATTAATGCCAACAAAGAATGACCTAGAGAGCCAGCTACGTGAAGAATGGCACCCAAAAGCAGCTCAGCCTCTTTGAGGAGCTCCCTGAAATTCTCCATGAAGTTACGATGGGTGGTTCATCCTAATCCCAGGATCTAGGGGTTACTGCAATTACAATACAAGCCGTCCCACAAACCATTCTCATAATCTCAAACAAAATTATTGTCTTATTTATATACAGATTAATAATTGTATGTGGATTAATTCATTTCAGAACATTTAGGTCTTAAATATTTCATTTTTAAGCTTAATTCAAATGTTAGTTCGCTCTATAATCAAAAAAAAAGTCTATTGTGTAATGATAAAATAAAAAAATTAAAAATTTTTTTTAAAATCCTCTTATTTGAACTGTTTTCAAAACACAAGTTTGATGTGGTGAAAAATAGTTTAAAATGGCCACTGAAAGCCTGTAGTTAGGAAGGAGTGAGTCAGCATATAAATGTTAAGCAACATTAGTCAAAGCACATGGGAAACAAAAAAAAAAAAAACATATAGGAATAACTTAAGATTAAACATAATAAAACCAAACAAGAAAAAAAGGAAGGAAAGTATACTGCTTTTCTCGCCTTTTATTGGCCATATTAACAAAAACAAGCCAATTGATTGTTGGTAAGCCCTAGCGAGAACTACGTTTGCATTTCTTCCATATACTAGTAGAAGCATTACTCTAAAAACCAAAAGACCTTTCAGAGTACATTCCCTCCTCTGTCACTGACCTTCTGCATGACTTTGGGCAACGAGCTGACAGAAGACCTGCTCATCACTTCAATCCTCTATCTCCAAATGACCTTGGAGAAGTTATTTTACCTCCAAGTTTACTTTCCTGGCCTCCTGCCTCCATCCTCCAAGGAACAGATAGGGTATTTCTAAACCATAAAACAGATCACAATATTTCTCTGCTGAAAATTTGCTAGTAACTGCCCACCACAGGTCAAAAAATGCATGCATGGTCTTCGTTACAGCTGAGAAGACCCGCATGAACCCCTGGGTGCCCCTCCAGCTGTTTCTCCTTCCACTTCCCCGCTTGTCCACTCCCTTCTAGTCACAGTGGCTTTCTCCCTGTCCCTTTAGCACATCTCCAGCTCCTTCTGCCTGGCAGACTCTCCCATGTGTTTTTGGTCAGCTGCCTTCTTCTCCTCACATTGTCATCGATGCAAACCTCACTTTTCAGCAGGGTCTTCCCTGACACGGGTAGAGAAAGCAATACCCTCCCCTGCCAACCCCAGCCACTCCCTAGCACGTTGCCCTGTTTTATCTTCTTCCTAGCATTTATCACTTCGTAGCATTTATTTTTAATGAAATAAATTTATTTTATTACTTGAAATAATTGTTTGAATGACAAATTCATTGTCCCTCTTCCTCAACCTAGAACTTCGAATGCTCAAGGAAGGAGACATTGTCTTGCTCAGCTCAGCATCTCCTTACCCGAGACAGTACCTGGCGCGTGGGAGACACACAAAAGTATCTACTCACTGCCCAACTGACTCAGATTTATCAAGAGGAACAAATGATACACCAAAAAGAATATCTTAATGGAACATAAACGGTCTGCAAATGTTACTAATATGGTCATGTTCACTTCTCTGGAACTTGGGTTCCTTGTCTGTAAAACTAATAAAGGATTTTTGTGAGAGTCAAAGGAAATCATCCTTCTCAAAGCTGTGAAAGCACTTGACAAATGTGAAGAAATGACTCTCTAATTCACATGGGGGAATATTCATACAGCGAGAAATTTGTGCAGAGTGCAGATGAGGTCACAATAATCATCCACTGGCCCGTTAAATATTTATTTAGTTTCAAATATGTGCTAGGCACAGTCATAGATGTTGTGAGTAAACAAAAAGAAACTGAACACTGTCTCTCTGACTTTAAGAATTTAATAATTAGAGAAATGAGCCAGATATACAAAATCTATAATACAAGGCAGATTATAACATGAAAAAAGCATCAAAAAACAAAGTGCTACAGGAATACAGAGAGCTCAGAAGAGGAAAGAATTATCCTGACATAGAGAACTAGAGAAGCTCTTATGAAGGAAGTCACATTGGAAGCAGTCTTGAAAGATATTGAGAAGGTGGAATGGGGGGTGTGGGGGCAACTGGCTCCTGCAAGTGGAGAAATTTTGCAATTGCAGGTGCACAAATAAGAACGTCTGGAAAGCCTTTGGGAAACAACGGGCAGTTTCTTGACCTGTGATAAAGAAGGAATCAGCAACAAGACTGTAATGGCAGCTCTTAAATACCAAGCCAAGGAGTTGGGAATTGATAAGCAATAAGGACTCACTGGAAGGTTCATGCAGGTGAATCCATATTA